CCCGCCACTGGTCTGCTTTACACAACTCACAGGGTTGGTTGGCTTGCTATGCAAATGGACTTTGCAGGGACACAGAAAGGAGTGGTTAGTTTGTGGTCCTGCTGGGAGGGCCCTGCCTTAAAGTTACAAGGAATTTGCTTATATAGTAAAGCAAGCAAAAGCTGGAACCTGTGTAAGATGGAAACCTGTCACAGAAGGAAAATTCAAGTACTCCCCAATAAAGAGCGATTGAAAAGGGGAAAGATGTCACCCTGTCAAAGCGGGAAACTTGTGAGACCTGGACAAACAAGGCAGTCCCGCCAGGTCCTGGCTCCTGCAGGTTTCACTGGGTGAACAGCCAACCACACAGGGCTTCAGAGGTGAGGAGCAGCAGAGGTGAGGCAAGAAACCTCCTGAAGAGCTGGGGCACTGGGTGTGGGGACGGGCCCAGGAGGAGCCCATGGCAGGGCCGGTGGTGGCAGCAGGAAGCTGCTGGCAGGGAAGCAGCTGAGAGCGGAGCAGGCTGCTATGTGGCCGCGCTGGGCCCGTCAGCAGCGCAGAGGCTGCCAGCCAGGAGGCCTGGTGGTCACGAGGGGGTTCTGTCCCGAGGGGCCTGCGCGGCTGAGAGAAGGGGCTGCCTGCTTGCTGGCCGAGTGCTGGCCTGCCCTGAGAAGGGGGGTTGTGCTCTCTGCTCAAGGAACCTTCCAGACCTTGGCCGTGTGCTCCCTGCTCTTGATCCCGAGCTGCAGCCTTAGTTGCCTAAGAAGCTACTCGACTGAGTACAGTTTGCTCAGTGAGTCTGTGTGGTCACTGCAGTGAACTCCCGACCCAGCGATGCTGGGTGCCGGTGGGGGCGGGGCTGGTGGACAGTGGAGCTGGAGGAGGAAGTGTGTCTGCCCCTCCCCCAGCCTGCTTGGTGCTGCTGGGATCCCCATCCCCTGGGACTTCAGAATGGTCCCAACACTGCACTACGGGGCCTCCCTGCCCGTGGGGTTGTCAGGGTTGTGGGCCAGAATGCCCTGACCCCGTTCCCTGTGAGGAATGCCATGGACCGAGAGCACCCATCCTTTAGGTCACCCAAGTCCCCAGGAGGCACCCCTCCTTCAGGCCCCTGCCCCCCCCGTGGGTGGCTTCTGAACCCCTGATGCCAAGGGGGCCCCATGGCCCAAACAGCTGCTCAGCGTACCCCCGTCCCGGACAACGGAGGCTTAGTCAGCCTGCAGGGGCCCTGCAGTACCTCAGCTGTGCTGGGGCAGCCCTGGCTGGGGTGCACCTGTCCCCAGGCACGGCCAGGTCCGGTGTGTGCAGACCCCTGGGCCTCCACTGTCACTCTGTCTGCCACAACACATCCTGTTCCTCCTGCCCCTGCCAGAAACCTGGGGAGCTGGGTGTTTCATAGCAGGCTCTCGCCCATAGTGATGGTGCAGTCACTGCCAGGGTCCCTACACACCACAAGGCTGGGTGCCGGTGACATGGGCTGGGAGAGCAGAGGCAGCCCACGGGAGGGGAGGCCGAACCCAGAGCGAAGGGTCCTTAGTGAATCCAGGCCTGTCTGGGAGCCTGTGTGGTGCCCTGCTGCCTGTCTAGGCTGGTGGCAAGCGGCCCCTGGTGCCTGGCTTCCAACCCCAGTCAAAGTGCTAGGCCTGTCCTGCCTTAACGCAGCTACGTACAGGCCCCGTGGAATGGTGAGGTGCCCGCTGGCCGGTGGCCCAACGTGAAACCAGGACAGCAGTGTTTGCCAGGAGAGTCTCCGGGGAGCAGGTTGTCTCTAGGGCCATTGTCCTCCTGGAGGCTGCCAGGTCGCCCGAGAGGAGGAGCTCCTGAGCTGGCCCCCAGCCACCCAGCCCTGCTGCGCTCACAACACCCTGAGAGCACCGACCAGGACGCCTCCCATGCAAAGCACAGTCAGCCTCGAAAGGACAAGTGAGACCTTTGCAATAAAACCGAGGAAGCGCTCTAATTAAGCAAAAGGTCAGAACAGCAATGAAAATCTATTACCAGACCCATTCTGTGATTTGTGGTGAGAGCAGGCAGGAACAAAGCTGCAGGTGACAGGGTGCGTGGCAGTGAACACCTCGGGGTCCAGGCGTCTCAACCATGTTAGTCCCCAGTGCCCAGCACAGGTGCGGCCCAGCCCTGCTGGCTGTGGTCTGCTCGTGCACCTACCCACCCCCCATTCACCCACCCGTCCACCTGCTGGTTGGTTGAGGAGCCCTGGTGGAATCATGGTTAAGCACTCAGCTGCTAACTGAAAGGTTGGAGGTCTGAACCCACCAGGTGCTTTGCAAGAGAAAGATGAGGTAGTTATCATCTGTACAGACCGACAGCCTCGGGAACCCTGTGCCGCAAGTCTACTCGGCATCACAGAGTCACAGTAACTCAGAACAGACCCCACAGCAATGGGTTTTTACAGGCTGGGGATTCAGAAGAACCAAAACTCATACCTCCCTTGTGGGAGTTTAAATGAGTACCGCTACTAAGGAAAGGGGAGCTCTGGTGGCGCAGTGCCTAAGGCATCTGGCTGCTAACCAGAAGGCTGGTGGTTCAAACCCACCAGCCACTCCTCGGAAGGAAGGCTGGGCAATCTACTTCTGTAGTAATAGCACCTCGGAAACCCAAGGAGGGGTCGCTACGAGTCGGGTCCAACTCCACGGCACATAACAACCACTAAGGAAGAGTCCTGGCCAATGTCCCCTAAGGCTGAAAGCCCACAGTACTCATCTTGGGTAAGTGGGCCCCCAGGGAAGAGAAGTCATGGCACAAAGACCTGAGTCAGACTGTTCACAGCAGGCCTTCCAACAGCTCCACACTGCAAACGACCCAAAGGCCACCAAGCAAAAGGTGCCGTGTTCACAGCAGAGGACGATGACCATGCTACACAGCTGAGTGACAAAGCTCACAGGGCTGCAGTGGAGCTGAGGGGAGGGGACACTGCTCTCCGGAGAGAGCATCAGTGAGCAAGTCGGGCAGAGAGACCGACGGGGCTTCAGTGCGGGAGGGAGAGGCCGGGGAACTGCAGCGGGATGAAAAGTTTGGAAGCAGGAAGTGGGGAAGGCTGTCCAACATGGGAATGTGATTCACGTCACTGGAAGCAGGAAGTGGGGAAAGTTGTCCAACATGGGAACATGATTCACGTCACTGCCAAACACGTACGACAGGCTGAAACTGCCAGTGTTTGCTTATACACCACCACGAGAAACATCTATTAACGTTTTTTTTTTTAGTTTAACAAACCTTCACTGTAAACTGTATTTTCTACTTCAAATAGGGCAGAGGAGAGCATAGCTTCGTGGGTCAGGGCAGCAGCGGTTAAAGCTGACCGACAAGATGATGGGCTGGGCTCCTGACCCCCGTCCCAGGGCTGCGATCCTGTTTGGAAGTGGGGTGTTGATTTGCTCAGTAAACCCTCCTCAGCAGGGTGAGTTCTAAATCTCACCACTTCCGAGACAGAAGAATAGATCTCACGCAGACACGCCCCATGGAAGATGGATGCCACGTGAAAGTCGAGACGGGAAGGAACCAGCAACGTCAGGGTTGCTGACCAGGAACCCACCCAGCTGAGCCCCCGACCGGGATTTCAGCTGCCACCGCTGTGAGAAATACATCTTTGTTCTTTAAGCCACTCCTGTGTGGCATCCGTGCGACAGGAGTATTGGATGCGCCTTAGTTCGTAGTCATGTATCTGAGCGTGCACTTGGTATTTCTTCCTGTGGTTGGGATAAGAGTGTTCGCAAAGCCAGTGGCTATGGCCTCTTCAGTCATCTCCCTCTCCAGGAGCTTCCTTAGTGCATGGTGGGGATTTGTTCTCCGGTCCAGGGACAGTGGCCTTAAGGCTGCCATGTTTTTTTTTTTTTTTTTTAATTGTGATTTGGGTGAAAGTTTACAGAGCAATTTCATCTTCCATACAGCAGTTTATACACATTCTGTTTCATGACACTGCAGTTCCCCACAGTGTAATAGCTCTCTTCCTACCTCCTTCCTGTGGTTATGTCTTACCTGTGTCCTTCTTTCCTATGCACTCCTGCCCCCTGAGCTGTCTTCCTATGTAAACACTGTCCTTCTGTTCTCCCACGATTGATCGCTCCAAGGAGTGTATCTACCTGATGTAAGTGTTCACCCCACATGCCTGTCTATTGTTTGGCTGGAAACCATAGGAGTATGTTCAGTTCCAGACCTGAAGGATAGCCGGGGGCCATAGTCTCAGGGGTCTCACCAGGCTCTTTAAGACCAGCAAACCTGGTCTTTTGATGATTTTGAGTTTTGTTCCACATTGGTCTCTCTCCCCAGGAGCTCCTGCAGATTCTCCTCCGAGTGGCTGGCCACCTCGTGCTTCTGGCCTCGTGCTCATAGAGGCTGAGGACCGCATGCTCTGCCGATCCCCCGACTAATTGTTTCCATGCATCTTGGTTTCCTTCGCTCTTCTTTGCTCTGAGGCTGCCAATTTTTTGCAGAATAAAAACAACATTAGCAGCAGCTAGCGTGCGTGTAGAGCCCTGCGACGCCTGTATTTGTGACTTTGTTTTGTCCCCACAAACGTGTGAGGGCAAGAGCAGCATGGCTGCTGCAGAGAGAGGCTGCGTGCTCTTGGGCTCGGCTCCCACCGCCGGCCCTTCTCACGGGAACCTGGCCCCTGATGAGAAACCGCTGAAACTGCGCCGCAGGATGAGAGAAACGATGCCACCAGCTCCCCTGACTGGATGAGGAAATGGAGGGACCGACTGGCCTGCTGGCAAGATCGCCATGAAGCAGCCAACGGGCACTGTGCTAAATCTTTATGTGCATTTTCTCACTGATCCTCACAACTGCACTACTGGCGCAGGGGCAGTGCTGTTACTGTTTCTTTGTAATTTACAGGTACGACTGAACTCAGTAATGCGATCATTCTGATGACACAGCACAACCCAGCCAGGAGGCCTCTGCCAGCTGATGCGCCACAGCAAGGGCAGGACCCACATCATTCCCATACTGCAGGCGAAGAAACTGAGGCTCAAGGGTGATGGGACGTGCTCCAGGTCACAGAGCTCTCTGGGGGCAATCAGAGGCCTGCCTCTATGGCATGGAGCCTCACCCTGTGTGGGAGCTGGGTCTGTGGTCCGACCTACCTGCCTCTCACCTCTTGGCCCCCTCCTCGATGGTCTCTCCTTCTTCCACTTTGCCCCCGAAGCCGTTCCACCGGCCGGCCCCGAAGCCTCGCTTCTTCATGCCCAGCAGGACCCGCTGGGGCTGCAGCACCAGTACCAGCGTGTAGAGCCTGGTGGTGCCCATGGTCCCCTTCAGGCTGTGAGAGCACAAGAGGGCTGGGTGAGCCTTGATCGGGCGCGGGCGGGGCGTGGACAGAAGGGGGTGTGGATGGAAGCGGGCGCGGGCGGGGTGTGGATGGAAGGGGGTGTGCTGCAGGGGGCAGGGACGCACTCTGGCAGACAGCAGGGCGGCCGGTGGTCATTCCGAGCCTCTGCACGTGGCAGGTGGCACAAGGGGACCAGGCCTGATGTTGGTGCTGAGTTGCTTCTCAGTCACAGTGACCCCACTGACAGACGAGAGCCGCCCCATAGGTTTTCTCGGCGGTCATCTTTATGGAAGCAGGTCCCAGGCCTTTCTTTTGGCTAAGTTTGAACTGCCAACCTTTTAGTTAGCAGCTGAGTGGTGAACTGTTGCACCACCAGCACTCCTGAGACAGGGCTGGCTCCATCTTCCCTCCCCCACCCTTACGCTCTTAGGTACAGAGAACATGTGATCTCTTCTAAGAGGACTGTTCCCACTGGTGTCCACCCCCAGGAACCCAAAGCCCACACGCAGGAGCAGGAGGGCAGACCAGCCCCCAGGACCCCCTGTTCTCCTGTTGGGCTGTGCCTGTGGCCTTCTCACTACTCTGGGGTCCTGGGATCTGGTTCTGTCTTTGCTGCAGCAGGCCCTGTGGCCTGAAGCATGTGCAGCTTAGGACGGGGTGTGTCCACCCTGTAAGGCTGGGTCTCCTTTTTATGACAGCAGTTCGTATCCTGCTCAGAACCACTGCTGCTCTGGGCCCAAGCCCCCGAGAGGGCACTGCATGCACAGGAGCCCTCCCTGCACAGTCGAGAAGATGCTGAGGGTGACGGCCTAGCCTGGGTCTTTGCTGGAGGACCAAGGCCGGTTCTCCATGCTCCCACCCCCCAAACCTTCTGGGCTGGGGCCTACAATCGCACCCAGGATGGGATTCAGGACTCAGTGTAGGGTCCTCCTTGGAAGCTGTGGGTTCTGACGAAAGGCACCTTCGGCTAGGTCCTGGTAGAGGGCACGGTCAGGGAGGACAGTGGGTTCGTGGTCTCAGGCTGTCTGTGTCCCGTCCTGACACCGATCTGCTCATGCCCAAACTCGGACTTCTTGCCAACTTTGATGAGGATGATTCTAGTATCTAGTGGCAGTTTTGTGGGGGAAAGACCTGGCAATCCGCTCCCGTGAAGATGACACCCTAGGAACCCTATGGGCAGTTACACCCTGTCACGTGCAGTCGTGGAGTCGGATCCACTCCAGGGCACTCAACAACAATATACCTGGTGGAAGCTCAGAATATGCAGATAGGGAACACATTTAGCTGCCAACTGAAAGGCTGCAGGTTCAAGTCTACCCAGAGATACCGTGAAAGAAAGCCCTGTTGACCCACTTCCGGAAAATGAGCACTGAGAACCCTGCGGAGCTCGGCTCTACTCTGACACACATGGGGTCGCCACGAGGGAGCGTCGACCCTACGGCAGCCAGTTGGCTTACACTAGGCAGCGTGCTAAGTTTACAGAAGTCGCCCCATTTCATAGACTTCAAGGCAAGTCTCTGAATGAAGACGTGCTTTCTCCATCTTCAGAGGAGGAAAGTGACATCCAGAAAGGGTAAGTAACTTACCCGACGTCAAAACGCGGAGTCAGTTCTCCGACGCGGGTACCCTAACTTCAGGGGCTGCGTCGGCCCCACAGTCAGCCTCGTGGCCTCCGCGAAGAGTCACCTGCGAACTGCGGCTCCTTTCGAGGGGCTGTAAGACCACACCTGTGGAGCCGAGCTCAGGCAGCCCCAGCCTCGCCTCGCTCCCCGGTTGCCCGCGCGCGCCGGGCGGTAAGTGAAGGCTCGCGCGCAGGAAGTGACGGTAGAAGTATGGGCGGGCACTTCCGGCAGCGCAGGCGCAATCGGGGAACCGAGTCGGCTCGCGGCGCCGTGAGCGGCCGAGGTGTCCTAGCAGGTGTGGGCTCAGCCTGTGTTTATGGAACGCCTGCTGCACGCCTGTGCCCGCGTGTGGGGAAGAGGCGGCGGGTGAGAGTCACTTAGCGCGTCCCACCCTCTGAGCTTTGGTGGCCCCGTCGGCCACGCGGGCGCTCCCATCGCTTACCTTCTCGGGTTGCTGTGAGCATTGCTGGTAGTTGCTGTGGAGTCGACTGACTCACGACGACCCCGTGTGTGCAGACACGAGCCGCCCTGTAGGGTCTCCTTGGCTGTAATCTTTTACGGCGACAGGTGGCCCGGCTTTTTTTCTGCAGTGCCACGGAGTGGAGTCAAACTCCCAACCTTTAGGTTCTCAGTCCAGCGCGGACTGTTAGCATCACCCGGGGGCCTGCATTGAGGACTTTAACGAGATAATACACGTTACCGAGCGGTAGTGCTTGGGACACAGCGCACAATTCACGTTAGAGCCAAGCCTCAGTCCCGAGTCCTCGGGAGCTCCTCGTCTAGGCGAGAACTTTGAAGCACCGAGCGCGTGGCAGCGTGTCACGCTTGTGCTGAGGCGGAGGGAGAGGGCTCGGGGCGGCTCCGGAGCAGGTGCTGAGACCACGCAGCGGGAGAATGAGTGACGGGCACCGCGGCCTGAGGGCGGTGGGGCTTCTGAGAGGCTGGAGGTCTGCATGGCGAGTGGACCTGTCTCCCGCGACGCCTCTGGGTGCATTCCCAAGGCTAACGTTTTGCCTAGCGGTCAGCTGCCTGCTATTAACTAGTACTGGGAAAATTGTGGCTGCTGTATACGTGGTGACAGGTTTGATTCCTGCTGAATTAAAACACTTCAGGGCAAAAAAAACCTTCTTGAAAGGTGGGGACCAGGTTTGCTGGTCCAATAGAGTCGGGTGGAACCACTGAGACTATGGCCCCTGGCTGCCCTTCAGGTCTGGAATTGAACCCACACCTATGGTTTCCAGCCAAACAATGTACAGACATGTGAGTTAAACATTTACCTCAAGTAACCACACGCCCTGGAGAGAACAATCATGGGAGAAGGAAGGGCTGCTTATGCACAGGGAGACAGCTCAGGGGGCAGGAGAGTATGGAGGGATGGACACTGGGAAGAGGTAACTATGGGGAGGAAGTGGGAGGGGAGCTGTTGCATTGTGGTAAACTGTGGTCAATGACTTGAGACAAAGTATATGTGAACTGCTGTATGGAAGGTGAATTCACTCTGTAAATCTTCACCCAAATCACAATAAATAAAATAAAATAATAATAATAAAAAAAAAAACCTTCTTGAGTGGAGCGTAGGAGACCTGCTGTCTGGCAGGTAGCCTTGTCAAGTCCTCTCCCCTCTTGGGTGTCAGGGTCCCATCTCTACAAATGACTCCGTTGAACAAAGGGTCCCTCTGAGCTGGAGACCTGCCGATCTATGGACTGCCAACCTTCTTGGTTGTTTGTTTCCTTGACAGGTACTTGGAGCTGGCATGCCTGCCCCTTCAGAGGTTCCACACTGCTGTGAACCACCCCAAGGGCCGCACGGGCGCCGCGCACCTGTGGCTGACACGGCACCTGAAGGATCCGTTTGTGAAGGCCGCGAAGGCGGAGAGTTACCGGTGCCGGAGTGCCTTCAAGCTCCTGGAGATCACTGAGAAGCACCAGCTTCTGCGGCCCGGCCTGCGGGTGCTGGACTGCGGGGCGGCGCCTGGGGCCTGGACTCAGGTGGCTGTGCAGTACGTCAATGCGGCAGGCACAGGTGGGCGCTGAGCAACTGCAGGCGAGCCGCCGGGGGGCCAGCCTGGCCCTTTCCGAGGCACATACTGTGGAGTTGCTGGTCTAGTGATGCTAACGATAAACAGCACGAAAGACAGGGCACAAAGGTGCAGTAAAACCAGCAGCCCCTCCGATGACACCATACAGATGTTGTTGCTGTTGTCATGGTGTTGGATCCACCTCCTGGTGATCCCCGTGCGCTCAGTAGAACTACTTCTTAGCGTTTCAAGGCTGTGACTCGACAGGAAGGTCGGCAGGTCGCTGGACCTGTCATTGTTGGCCCCACCCAGGGACTTCACATTTCGATACAACATTTGCACTCTTCTCTGCACACACGGGGTCACCATGGGTTGGAATCGATGACTAACAACAGGACTGGTCAGAGCAGGCCCACTGTGCCCATTTCCTGGTGAGAAAGTTGAGGCTCAGGGGCCCTGGCTTAGGCATCAGCTCACAGGTGACAGGTCCGTGGTCAACTTGGGGACTTTGCTGCTGCCACTCTGGTGGTCATGCCTGTGGCTGGGAGGCCTCCCAGGGCTTTAGAACAGCCCTTACCCCTTTTTTGAGCCCAAGAACTAATACTGAATAAACGAACATCTTTGCTGCTCTTCCCACCACGCAGCCTCTGTAGACCCACCAGCCTGTGTCAGTGATCCTTGTCCCCTTGGTGTTCTTCAGAAGCAGGAACACGGTCCCGTTTAAGATGCAGGACGAAACGGCGGTAGCAAGGTGTGCGGATGAGCTGACAAGGGTTTCTTTCTTCCCAGCAGTTGCAAAAATGCAACCAAAGCCATTTGCCTTCAGTGGCAAGTTCCCAGGTTGCAGTAGATGGGATTAAGGAGCTCCAGTGAGGAAAGTGGGAAGGAGTTGACCTGCTTCCTGGAGATGAACTGTGAGGGTTTTACATTTCAGAAGCGAGGTGCTTTTCCAAGTACCTGGGCTTCCAGCCTTTAAACAGAGCAGCCCTTTAATGCGTTAGACTGAGCTAGCAAACTGTGACAGTACCCTTACAAAATGACAGTTACCTAGAGCCAGAGACCCTTCTCAGTGCCCAGAGTGACGGAGAGTCAGCACTCTGGGGCCTGTGAAGGTGGGGCTTTGCATTGGGTGCAGGGTATGGCGATGTGGAGGCTGAGAGCGGTCTGGGAGGGTGGGGAGGCCCATGAAACAAGGGGGTCTTTTTTGTATTATAATTGGCAGCACTGAAATAGGGGCATGATAGTGATTTTTGTACTTTCCTTTGTACCTGTCCACTTTCCTATCTCTGAATTTGTTTCAGATAGTTCATCTGTTGAAAGAAATTGGATTAAGCTGCAGTGGTTAGGTGCTGGATGCTAACTGAAAGGTTTGCACTTTGAACCTACCAGGCACTGTGGGAGAAGGATGTTGCAGTCTGTTTCCATAAAGATGACAGCCTTGGAAACCCTGTGGGGGCAGTTTTCCTCTGTCCTGTAGGCTCTGAGGGATCCCTCTAGGGTCCTGTGAGTAAGAATTGACTGAGGGCAATGGGTTTTATCAGTAGCACATTCTATTTTATCACAAAGATTAGTGATAAGCCTTTCTCGGAGACCTCCTCCTGCCCTGAGAAATAGTGGCAGAAGGCCTGGATGGAGCCCTGGGCTAGCTTGGCACTCTGGCAGCTTGCCACACTGGGTCTCAGTTTCCTCAGATGTGCCCTGCCACATCTTCACAGGGTGTGTCCCAAACCCACCGCCATTGAGTCGATTCCCTAGAGGATGGAGTGGAACTGCCTACAGGGTTTCCAGGGCTGTCAGTCTTTACAGAAGTGGACTGACTCACCTTTCTCCTGCAGAATGGCTATTGGGTTTAAACTGCCGAACTTATGGCTAGCAGCCAAACACCTTAACCACTGTGGCACCAGAGCTCATAGGGTGTGTAGGAAGTGGGGAAAGGCACGTTTGCACATGAACCCTTCTTGGTCCTGTGTCGTGTGGTCATTCTGTTGTGTGTGTTCTTGGAGAAAGATGCAGGGTGTAAGCAGCGTGTTCTCTGTTCCCCTTAGATCCCAGCTCTCCAGTCGGCTTTGTGCTGGGCGTAGACCTTCTTCACATATTCCCCCTGGAAGGAGCCACTTTGCTGTGCCCTGCTGACGTGACCGACCCAAGAACCTTCCAGAGGATCCGTGAACTGCTTCCTGGGCACACGGCAGATGTGATTCTGAGTGACATGGCCCCCAATGCCACGGGGATCCGGGGTCTCGACCATGACAGGCTCATTGACCTCTGCTGGTCCCTTCTGGACTTGGCCCCATGCATCCTGCAGCCGGGGGGTACATTCCTGTGTAAAACCTGGGCTGGAAGGCAAAGCCATCGGCTGCAGAAGAGACTGGCCCAGGAATTTCAGAGCATGCGGACTCTAAAACCCAGTGCCAGCAGGAAGGAGTCGTCAGAGGTATACCTCCTGGCCACACAGTACCGGAGAGGGCCAGGGTCTGAGCAAGAGTGAGAGCCCTGCCTGCTGGTCAGAAGATGAGTCCACACATACTCACCCCACGTGGGCCTGTGGGGTTTTTAGTGGCTTCTGTTCTGGGAGGCCAGGCCTGGCTTCGAGGTACCTTTGTGTGGACTTGAACTCCCAGCCTTTGGGGCAGTCGCTGAGTGTGCTGACTGTGCTGCGCAGGGGTTTCCTCCTGGTGGCTGGGCCCTTTTCAACTGCAGCTGCAACCAGGGGCTGCTGGGACAGTGGAGCTGTTGGCTGGGGGTACAGCAGGACACGTGGGGACCTTTCTGTTTTTTAAACCAAAAAGAGATGATAAAACGACATGCAGTGGCCACAGGATGTAGTAAATATTCGTCTTCTGGGTCATAATCTGTGAAGAGAAAGAAAGGGGTGAAGATGGAAGGGTGGAGAGACAGCAGGAGGGATGGGGCAGAGCAAACCGTCTCGGGAGGCGGAGATGCACCTGCTGCAGCAGGCGTGCTATGGGCCGCAGGTTTGCACCTGCTCTAAAGATGACCACGCGTGTTCCACCTGAAGGCAGAACCGGGGATGAATTCCATCTCTCTGGCAGATAATGTGAAACATGTCTATTTTTCCAGCTGTGGGGGTCCCCAGAGCAAGCAGGGAAGCCATTGGAGTGAATTTGTGCCTGGGGTGCACGGGGTGGGAATGCTCTGGTGTATTGAATTGTGTCCCCCAGGATCTGAGTGGTAAGCCCTAACCTCTCTGCCTGTGGTTACAGACCCATTGGGAAATGGGTTTTCTGTCTTACGACGATAAGCCAGGATTAGTGTAGGCTGTGTTTCGAGTCAGTCTCTAGAGATATTCCAGAACCCACTGCCATTGAGTCAATTCTGGTTCATGGCGACCCTCTAGCACAGAGTGGAACTGCCCCAGAGGGTTTTCAAGGCTGTGAATCTTTTCAGAAGCAGACTGCTTCATCTTTCTCCTGTGGAGTGGCTCGTGGGTTCAAGTCACCGACCTTTTGGTTAGCAGCCATATGTTTTAATCACTGTGCTACCCAGAGCTCCTTTTTTGAGATCAGAGAGATTAAATAAGGGAGAAGAGCAGAGATGGGCTGAGGGAGGTGCCCAGATAGACCTCTAAGGAGCCAGGAAGTAGGAGCTGAAGAGACGAGGGCTTCCAGGGCCAACAACGCCTTCCCCTGGAGCTGGGGCCCTGAACCTGGGCTTGGAGCCTCCTAGCTGAGGTAATGAGCGTGCTTCTGTTCCCCCGCTCTGGAGGACACGACGCTTGCCTTCTGCTGGGGACCTGTGTTGCTGTGATCCTACAGGCTCCGGAGGCAGTGAAGTTGCCCAAGCCAGCAGTGGTGGGTGTATTTATAGTCCGAGGGCACCAGATGCAGTTCCAAACAGGATGTAGACTATAATTTTAAGGGATTTCCATTTGGGTTGTAATTGACTGGAGGCAGTGGCTTTGGTTTTCGGTATTCTGGCTGAGCTCTGGAAGAAGGGGACAGGCAGTTAGGCAGGATTCCCACGCTCCAGTTTACAGAGCACCGAGAAGTATTAGCATAACTATTTCCCAGGAGGTCCAAAACCCAAACCCATTGCAAGCGAGTCCATTTCACCTCATAGCTACCCCCGTAGGGTTTGAGAAGCGGCTTGTAGGTTCCAGCCGCAGACCTTTTTGATAGCATACAGATGCCTTAGGCACTACGCTAGCAGAGCTCCTTGTTGTTGTTTGCCATCGAGTCAGCCCCGACTCATAGCGACCCCTCCTTGGGTTTCCAAGGCAATATCACTACCGAAGTAGATTGCCCAATCTTCCTTCCGAGGAGTGGCTGGTGGGTTTGAACCGCCAGCCTTCTGGTTAGCAGTCAAGTGCCTCAGGCACTATGCCCCCAGAGCTCCTTAGCAGAGCTCCTTAGAGATAAGGAAACGGCTTACAGATTCAAACACTGATTTGAACACACTAGTGACAAAATTCAAAGGGCAAAAAAAGTTTGGCCCTAGGAGGCCACCGTTGGCGCTGCTACTCCATACATTACGGTACAAGGCAAGTTCTTCCGATGTAGCCCACCCTGCGGTGTGTCGGGGGACCGTGTATCTGTCTCTGCCCTTCGGCCTGGAGTCCTCTCCCGGCGGTCGGCTCTGGGTTCCGACGTGGGAGCCCAAACCCCACCTAGCAGCGCGCGCTTGTGTCCCACCGGGTCTCGCGAGAATCGGCCGCACCGCTCGCGAGACGCGGGCGCCGGCCAGAGGAGGGAGATCCGAGCGGCGGCGACGGGCTGAGGCGGCCGAGGTGAGAGCTGAGAGCGGGCGCGGGGCTGAGCCGGGCTGCTCCTTCTCGGGCCCTGGTCCGCGATCGCCGCCCGCGCCCCGATCTGCCCTCGACTGTGGAGGTCCAGCCGGCCCCCGTCAGTCCTCGTCCCGGCACTGGAGCCTGGTCCACGCGAGCCCTGCGCTCCGACCTGCTCCCTTGTGGGGTCCGAGCTCGGTCCCGACCCCCGGGCTCCAGCCGACCCCCGTCCGTCCCTCCTCGTCCCGGAACCGGAGCCCGGTCCCTGCGAGCCCTGCGCGCCGGTCAGCCCCCTTGTGGGGTCCGAGCTCGGTCCCGCCCTCAGCCCCAGCCTGGCGTGTCGCTCTGCGGCCTCGCGTGCGGCTCCGTCCCCCGATCCCTCTCCCCGTGGGGCCGGGGGGACGGCAGGCTCTCCGCCTTGCCTTCGCCTCCCGGGTCCGGGTCCGGGCTCGTCCCCGCTGCCGGCCTCCCCGGCTGCTGCTCGCCCTTTGGGCGCCCACGTGTGGTCAGCTCGTGGCCTCTGCTCGGCCGTCGGACCGAAAGGGTCGGCTGGCACTGACCAGCTTGTGAGCAAAGCCCAGGCGGTGAGCCCGCGGACCGGCGGAGGGCTGCCTGGCCGTGGGCGCCGTGGGCGGTGCGCGGCCTCTGGGGCCCCGGCCGGACCGGCCCCTGCCGCTCCTCGCCGAGGAAAGCCAAGCGTGTGCACGGCCGGGTCTGACAGGCTTGGTCACTTCCCGCAGAGTGGCCAGAAAGTACCAATACTGGTCGCTGTCGCGGCGACCCCGACCCATGGCGACCCCGTGCGGGCCACAGCAGAACTGCACCCCGTAAGGTTGTCAGGGAGTGACTTTTCCAAGTAGGTTACCAGGTCTGTCAACCGTGTGCACCACCCAGGTTGCTGCTTGTAGGAACTTGTGTTTCAGATGCGCTGTGTGGCTGACTGGTTAGTTGCTGTGGACTCTGAGTCAGGGCGCCCCCATGTGTGCGGGGTACCTCTGCCCGGGAGGGTTTCCTAGGCTGTGGCCTTTCAGAAGCAGCCAGCCAGGCCTTTCCTCCAAAGTGCCTCTGGTGGGGTTTGAACTGCCAACTCTTTGGCCAGTGGTCAAGTGCTTAACCCTTGGCGCCACCCAGAGACTCCTGAGTTAGACTAGTGTGATGAGCAGTGCCCCATGGTGTAAAGTGGTCTTGTGGGATGGCAAGGGCTCTGGTCATTTCTGTAGGTCTCTGCGGTCGCCTGTTCTGATGAAGAGGACGGTTGGGAATGCCCTATGGCCTCCAGCTCCGGGGCCCTGCTGGGAGCAGTTGCGCCTCGGGTTGGGTCTCGGACGAGGAGGGTGGTGTTTTCCATCCTCTCCACATGATGTCCATGTTCTTTTCATTCTGGTGTGTTCCATGTGCCATGTCTTCCAGCAGATGGCATTCTGAGAAGAGGAGGTATTTGCTGGCTTTTCCATCATGCATGAAAGAGGCCGCCCCGGCTAGTCTCCCTGTGCAGGAGTTGGGTTCCTTGCACTGCTGTGCAGCCTTCACCCCATAGGCCTTCGCCTGTGAGGCCCAACGCACTGGGAGTGCTCGTGCGGTCCTCTCCTCCGACTGTTTTTCCTTCATAGTGTGACTGAGGTGGGGGCAGGTGGAGCAGCCACCTTTCACAGGGATGGTCTTTGTGGCCCAGGAGACAAGCCCTCCACTAGCACAAGGCCCTGGCTCCTGTTGGATGGAGAATTGCGACTCACACCTAAGATTCTTCACTTTCTTCCTGTCTTGGGAGGTGAGCGCGGAAGGTGTTTTTCAGTCTAACACTGGAGGGGAAGCAGAGAGAGAGCAGAGTGTGTCATAGGTATTCCACCCCTTCTGCGTGCTCTTCACTCACCCCCGAGCTCTGCTGGTCCCCAGCGCTCCTCACTGGCTCATGGACACACGTGGCCTTGAGCCAGACACGCCCAGGGTCTGAGCCTGCCTCTGTCGCTTTCTGGAGGCTGTTGTTTCCAGAACTGGTAAAAGGACCGATTTCATCAGCCTGTGATGATGATGGCCATGCCCTGCATGCAGACATGCTCACTGTGATCCTCACAACAGCTTTGCAAACTTGGTCTCATTGCCTCAGCTCACAGATGAGCAGTTTTGGTCCTCAGTAAACGCCTGATACCTTTCTCGGTACCCGGTTGGGAATGGCAGAAAGCCCCACTGGTGCCATTGTTCATATGGCGTGGTAGTTAGCAGTGCTGTGGTCACCATCAACAGGGTCTCCTTGTTCTTGTCCTACTGGGAGCAAGTACAGCACTCTGACGGTCAGCAAGCTGGGTGGCCAGGGTTTGGAGGGGCATTGCCTTTTCGTGTGGCCTCTCTATGCCACCGTTTCTTTGCTGCTTATGCAGGAAGATGGATACCCACGTCACCTCCTAAGAATGTGGCAGTGGGCACCGGAATGTTTTAGGGCCTGAGAGAGCTGGGAGTCTCTGGGTGATGCAGGTGGTTAACGTGCTTGGCTGCTAACTGAGAGGTTGGAGGTTCTAGTCCAGTGGTGATCTACTTCCAAAAACCAGCCATTGAAAACACTGTGGAGCTCAGTTCTGGTCTAGCACTCACGGGGTTGTCTTAAGTTGGAGTCCACGCTGAGTAACTTTTTTTTTTTTAAAGAGAGCTTTAAGAGAGTGGGAGGATCCCTGGCAATACTTTGGTTGAAGCTCTTGACTCCTAACCAAAAGATCGGCAGTTTGAACCCACCTGCCTCTCCTCAGGAGAAAGATGAACCAGTTTGCTTCTGTAAAGACTGATAGTCTTGGAGACCCTGTGGGCAGTTCCACTCTGTCCTCTAGGGGCGCTGTGGGTC